TAAATTATATAATTTTGTAATTGTATTTGTAGATTTACGATTTAGGCCTATATTTGTAAATGGGAGCAACTTTAATTGTGTAATTGTTAATCACCATAGGAATTTAAATTATTTTTACGTATGTAGGTGTATCAGAAAGTGCACAAGTGAATGGTGTAGTAATGTGAGACAGGGGTGGTTTTGCCACTATTTTAAAAATGTCAATGCATAATAATGTTATGTGCTACTGATTTATCTATTCTGGAACTGTTGTGTGCCCCCTCCCCCTTTGAAAAATTTTGGATCCGCCCCTGTGGCAAGTATCAACAGTACAGTAATAATGACATCATACCAATTTTCTTCTAAAGTTCAAACCCACTGTTTTTTTTAAACTTGTGGAAAGGATAACATTGACTAGGTTAGTATAATTTAAGATATATCATTATTTTTATGAATGTATGTTTGTTTGTTTATTTATTTATTTACTCTAAGATAGAGATGGCAGCCTATAAAGGAAATTCCTATTCCCAATAGGATTCACTTACCATATACATTCAGAACAAATAGAACTTTATTATTTGTTAACCAAAAAATCCATTAAATACGACTTGCTATACATAAGGCTATAGGCGTCTTCCCCGTCTTCCCTGGAACCGACTCGGGCTTTCCCCTGCCTCCCAGGCAAAGCTTGAGCAAATTGTTAGCTCAAAAATAGAAATAATAGAAATTTTAAAGTAATTCGTATATAACTCGCACAGGTTGTTGTTCGCACAAGTGGATCTTCTTCCGCTCGAACTAGCATCCACTCGAAAAAAAATCCGCTTGAATTCGCTCGAATTGGCCTTCGCTCGAAGTGGCATCTGCTAGAATTGACTGGTTCCCAGGCTGAGACATGAAAGGTTGTTGTTTGTTGTTATTTCGCAATTCGAGACGTCATCAACGAGTACAATACATTCAATCCCGTAACATGATTGGTCTATTTTTTTCTAATTTGCATAATGAATTTTTCCAACATTTTTGTCTATTTAAAAAAAAATGTGTAAGTTATGGAGATGGTAACAATCATAAATCGATTATAAATTTAATTATACATTTTTAGACAAAAAATAAACCCTCTCGGCCCACGGCCCATTTTTTTGACACCATGACCATGCGTAATAATAACCTACAGTGTATATATACGAAGAATTTTTTCTAGTAGGATTAGAGTTGACTAACTGGTACTTGGTGTGGTACTAGGTTTATCGCATTTATGGCTTAGGGACCGCGGTTTACCTCCCTCCGTTTAGTCATGCTGGATCAGGAGTAGTAAACTCGGCGATCGTGGGTTCGATTCCCACACGGGGCAAGTTTCTTTTTAAATTTTTTTTATTTATTTAAATTTTTTAATTTTTTTAGGTCGTGGGTTCGATTCCCACACGAGTCAGTTTCTTTTTAATTTTTTTTTTTTAACACTTTAGTTGATGGTGGATAATGATAGCAAACCTGGAGGTTGTGTGTTCGATTCCCACACGAACCAATTTTTTTTTTAAGGTTGAAGGTGGATAATGAATACCGGTACCAAACCTGGTGGTTGTGTGTTCAATTCCCACACGAACCATTTTTTCCCTTTTTTTAAGGCAGTTTATTTGATGGTGGATAATAAATAGCAAACCTGGAGGTTGTGTGTTCGATTCCCACACGAACCATTTTTTTTTTTTTTTTTTTTTTTTTTTTTTTTTTTTTGCGGGCGTAATTCCTAGACAGGATTGTTTATTCAATTCATATTAAAATTAGTGTTATGATGGTGATTTTTTTTTTCATTCAATGGGAATTCATATATTTTATGAGAAGAATCTATGAATATTCAGCTTTCCGTTTACTGGATCCACCACTGATTATAGCTCTGGAGTTGGAACATGACCGAAGTCCGTTTTGGTATACCAAATATACCTCTATATTTATAGAAAATTTTCGCAAAATTTGAAAGGAATATTTCCTGGCAACTACCACTCGGGGACTTCCAGAGGCCTGCACACTTCGCGCTACGTAGTTACCTGTGTGCGCGGCGCTCATTGTGACACTAGATAACTCAGACTCACTGATCTCTACTATAATAGGCCTGCTATTATAGTAGCGATCAGTGCTCAGAATAGACTAGGCCGCTGGTAATCTCCCAGTGAGTTGCGAGACATTAGCGGCGCCGTGTCAAAATAAACCCAAGTGTGTCCGCCATTTTGCTTTCCAAGATGGCGACCATTTAACCCTCGCGAAAAATTTGGCACCAACGATTTTCTTGTTCAGTATAATATTGAGTCGGAAAAACGTTGTTGCCGTAGTAAATTAACATGAATTGCGAACATGACCCTGTACTATTTAGGAACCGGCATTATTTCCTTCAAAAATTCCCTTCAGCCCTGGGACTTCAGGCAACTTGTTTTCAGAAAATAACTGCTCCTTCGGCTTCTATTTCCATAGTGTGCTCAAACCGTGACAATAATAATAATTGCTTATTAGTAATTCACGATAATGTTGTAACATAGCGATTCTAAACAAATTAAATCATACATAATCTGCTTCATCAACAAGTTGTGTTCATTCAAACATCTGCTTGACTTAGTGGAGAAAAAACACAAATACAACGAATGACTTCTTGTGCGGTGAAGAAAATTAATTTGAAAACGTTTATCTGGACTCTCAATAACGTTGGCTTAGAATAGTGTGGTTCAGTTTCTGCTTATCAATATAATTATTTTTCAATATCGATTAAAAAAATAATCTGATTTCAGTCATCACTTTTCGTTGAAGGCGTTAAAGATAATGTTTTAAGACCTGGAAGTGCTTTACTGTTGAATTGTAATACATTCTCGCGCTTAACTGATTGATGCCTAGACCTATATAATAATTGTTCAAGGGTTTCTTTTAAATAGTTTTTTTTAGGCTTTTTAATGGTGGTCGTAGGTTTTTGAATTGTTCTTTTTTCTGCCTTTTTCATTATATTATTATGTACTGTAACATGGTCATCTTGATACGGAAATAAACGATTTGAATTGAATTGAATTTACAATGCGGGAATTCTCATCTAAAAAATACTACAGCTGTTGTCTGCTTTAACGCCCACGACTATGGCATGTTTTAAAATTTAACGATATGATTTTTGTTTATACTTTATAACCAGTCAGGAGATTTTTATTCTGACAGTGACACATAATGTCGGTATCACAGGGAAAGTGACACCGGAAATTCCGGCTTTCTTAGAACACGGTTATTTGCAAAAAGATTATATAATGATATAATAACAACCATGGCCTCTCGGCGGAAATAACACTTAAAAACATTTTAACATTTAAAAATGGTTTTTGGAGTGTGTATGTATTAATTTTATTTTTGAATAAGCCTCTGCAGCATCTGCTTAAAAATAGGGTAAAATAATATGCTATAGCATTTTTTTAGAAGACGAATGTCATCTCAATCAATATTTCAGATATTTTTTAACAAAGAAAAGGCTATGCAAAAGGATGTTGTTCACTATTTAAGAGAATAAAATCCCACACATATTCCAAATAGGCTGAGTGAAGCAATATTTTATTGAGAATTATTTTCCATGCAGTAAATAATACATGTCATAACACAGGGTAATCACGAGATAGGTAAATTGAAATAATGGCAACACACACTATAAAGAATCGATCTACTGTTTTCTAGTTTTGACAGTCTAAACAAATTTCATTTTTTAATAGTTTACAATACGTAGATATATCCTTTGCGAACATTAACAAAAATGTGTTAATACAACCCTCTGTTAAGAAGTTATGATTTTAAAATTAACATGACCTCCGAAAATATGTTATATTTGTTGGTTACGCTTCGCTGCATGCTCAGCATTGTTTGTCATCGATCGAACCATGATCGAACATGTCTACTGCAGCGTGAAAAGGTGTGATGGCAGACCTAAACAGTGTTGAAGTTTGCACTTTGAAATCAAGCAGAAACTCTTTGATCGGTATGTAAGGATTGGATTTCATGGTTTAAGAACATTTATAGATAAGACCTACTGTAGATATATTAAACTTTTGGTGACTTGATGAAGTATGGTATGATTAACAGCCAGGCACGGATCCAGACCCTGCACCGTTCGCCATAGCGAAGGTCAGGATGAGAGATAAAATATATATATTTTTTAAAATACTCATTCATCAAATAGACCTCTCAGAATTCATTAAAGTCAGTGCATTTCTAAAGATCTAAAAAACTAAAACTTCCGAATAAGGAAGGACCAGAACTCCTCCCCACCCCGTCTAAAATGTTTCTTCAGCGACAGAACAGCAACAAATTACGCTCTCTTCGCATGGGCCCGCCTACCACGAGACCCTATCTGTGCGAAAATCAGGGCAACCTCTGGATTCGCGCCTAGATTAAAGATATTTAAACAATAGGCCTATATTTTATATCGTAAGGATATCATGCACGAATTTGCCGGGCACGTGCACATGTGAGGAACCTGGCTAGGCCTAGGTGACATAATATAGTTCCTAAGGGATACTGATTCTATATGTCGTTAATTACAACAACTTAAATATTTGTGCATCATATTTCACTTCTCATTTATAATAAGTTATAAGAAATCTTCATTATAATGTCAGAGGATAATAATGTTAATGGCAATGTGTGGTTAACTAGGCCTATGCATATACGCTTGCTGGAGACGAGGATTGATATAAAAGTTTTGAACGTACGCCTCAAAATTTATAGAAGTTAAATGCGCTAGATAATAGTTTGTGATTGAGATGATACTGTTTTGATGTATTAGCATTGTAATTTGTTTTTGCTGTTTTCTACACGCACACCCTAACAGTAATGATTTTTATATTAGGCCTATGCTAATTCTTTCATAGTATTCGATGATTTAATGATACTAATTGCAATAAGTTTTGTTCTGTTCTGTTGTTACAGGTATCTGGGTTTTTTTGTTGGTGTTAGAATTTACTGTGCTGTCTTAATGTTTGAAGCTGTTAAAAGATTGACTTCACTGTAAACGGTGGTTTGGGTTTAAATAAAGAAATAGAGTGATCGTGGTATCCATTAGCCTTATATCGAATTCACACATTTGTTACGAGTGGCTTCATAACTACGAACAACAAATACGAATGTATTTACAGACGCCTGCGCTGAAGGCAATATTTATATATTCATATAAAAGTTTCCACAAATTGACTTTTAGCAAGATTTACTACTTCCATAATTTTCATGGCGGCAACAATAGATTTGTTGATACAGCAACACGTTTCTGTAGGCTTATTAATTTTTGTGATTTGTACATTTTTACCTGTCATGCTGGTGACGATAATTGGAAACTTTATTGTTATGCTCAGTGTGTATCGGAAACGTACTTTAGCTAAATCTCCGAGTAGTATCTTCATATCATCATTAGCACTCTTTGATTTCTTAACTGGATTGATTGGATTTCCTCTCTGTATAGTCGCATTTATTCTTCGTAGGCAGTTCCTTTATTTGGAAAACTGTGCAATATGGTACTATGTACCCGCCACGATATTAATCACTATCTCAGTTTTCAATTTAATTTTGATCACTATTGATCGATTCTTTGCGATTAAATACCCTCTTCGATACCATGTGCGGATGTCAGCTGGAAGAGCAGTTCAAATCTGTATATGCGTTGACTTGTTCGGTGTTTTTTTCGGAGGAATGCCATATGCAGTAGCTGCTGTTGCAAGTATTTTTGTGCCACCACCTAATGTGACGTATGAATACGATTGCGGGACCTCTGCCATTTACGAAAAGTATGGATCTCCTGTGACCTATTACGTCATCAAACCGATTACCGGTTTGACAATCCCTACACTGTTTATTCTGTACGCATATATTTTCTCAATTGCCTCTAAAAAAGCGAAAGAGGCTGCCACACGCCGTGGAAAGAAAGTTAGAAACCGAGAATTGAAAGTGGCCAAGACAACGGCCATAGTGCTTCTGGCTTACACTCTGTGTATTGCACCAATTGCTTTAAAAAAGACTGTCCAACGAGCCGTTCATAATGGTTCCACCTGGCTTGTTTGGTACTTGTGGTTTGCAGATTTTCTCATCCTCGCTAACTCGATGATGAATCCGTTCATTTATGCTGGAAGAAGTAAAGTAATGAGAAAAGAATTCAAAGAAACGGTTTACTTCATCATTTGTAAGGTTTCATCCAAATCAGAGGTAGAAGTGAAATCAGAAGCAGAGACATCCTGCAGACGACAATCACAGATGGTTGATTCAGTGGCAACGTCATCAACAGACTTGGCAACTCGTTACAATAGTACATCGTTGAACAGCACTGGCGAAGTTTCAGTGCAGATTTTATAGAAACACACTTCTCTCCTGTTTTTTCCGAATTGAAGCACTTGATTTCATACAGTTTTTGCACATGTCTGGAACAGTGACTGACGCACTACATGTTAATAAGAGATCAATGATATGTGTTTATAAATATATAACTGTTTAACGTTAAAAATAAATCTAAAAGTGTGAAAAAAAGAGTTGCTCCAACCAATACTGAACTCGGGACATTCTTTTGGATAATATTTAGACACTGTCACAATTGACTTGATTAAAATGTATTATTATTATTATTATTATTATTATTATTATTATTATTATTATTATTATTATTATTATTATTATTATTATTTTTATTATTATTGTAATTATTATTATTATTATTAATATATTATTATTAATATTCTTATTATTATTATTACTGTATTTTATTGTTCTTGCGTTGTCATTAATGATATTATTATTCTTATTGATATTATCCTCATCTTGAGAATTGAACTCTAGAGGGACATTAAAAAGTACATGCATATTAATTAAGTACATGCATATTAAAAGGGAAACACGTCATAATGTTGGACCCTAGGAGAAGAGGGCGTAAATTTTGTCCAGACGTCTCTAGGGAGGCCTAAGTTAAGGGTCTAAGATAAGTAAAGCCGAGTTGCACAAGGTCCATGAAGACTGGCTAATGTTGAATGCAATGCAGATATGTTCTATATAAGGTGACAAACTAAGGTTTCGGTCATAATTAGCAACAGTAAGTTAATTATTTATATTGCATTGTATTATAGCAGGCCTAATGACATGTATTGTGCAGGGTTAAAATGGTAATGTTACTTCATGCTAATGACATTCCAAAGGGAACTTATAGAATTGTTGAAATGAGATCGGACCTAAGCATTATTGAATATATATAGAAGCATAATTTATTGCTAGGCCTGTTTTGCAATTTATTATTTTAGCTCGTTAATTGTAAAATACGATGTGGGCGTGTCTCTAGAAAAATGTACCATTTTGTTTATAGGTAGCCTCTATATTATGCTGACTCATGGATTAATGGTAAGAAACAAGGTGTTTCAATGAGTCAAGTGAATGACGATAGAAAAGAAGAAGGAAGAAAATAAACAGATTGTTGTAACTTATATGATGATGGATGTCGTTTGTCCGTGTCAATTTGATATCGTTGAAGTGCCACGCGATAGACACCTTATCCGAAGTGAGTGGTAGTTGTTTCCACTCGACTGTAGTTCTTTAAGGCGTTTGTTAATGTAACTAAACATAAAATAAAATGAATATCATATCAAATTATATTTACCTTTCTATATATAAATATATAAATATATATATATATATATATATATATATATATAATTCCTAGTATTCTGCCTAACATTGGACATATAAATACAGTATAAACAAACAGGTAAATGATGTATCTGTGTAAAATGTTTATGTATTTAAAAGAATATCATATCACTTAAAAGATGAATTTGTGTGTGTATGCCTTTCAAAATTAACTTAGTCGGCGCTACTAACAATTAATGTTTTAATTGCGCCATAAAAGTAGATAATTTGAATTTGTACTGTATGTATCCTGGATTAAAGGTGATGCCCAAACTCGTTAGTGTAATTAATACATTACTTTTGGCAACACTTAAATC